GCTAATCTTCTATTCTAGAATGATAATCTAAAAGATATATAATAACTCAATACAACACTTGAAAAATGATGTATGATTTTCTTAGAAGAGCATTTGCTATGGACTTCAACAGTACTTGAGTTTAGAAAAATAAAAAAAAAAATTAGAAACAAGTTGATTTATTAATTAATTACATTTTTATAATACGAAATTTTTTATCATTCCTTATTATTAAGTATTAATTATTATAAGTTTATATACATTTTAATACCGCTATGGATTTATTATTTAAATTATATTAAAAAAATGTTAGCCTTAGTCAATACGACAACATCTTCATTACGGGGAGGTGGTTACGGATCTTTTAAAATGAATCCAAGAACGTATGGAAACTTACAGTCAGATATATAAGATATAGACAAATTTCATTACCAAATTTAATTCTTTTGTTGAAATAATTTGTGCTAAAGCTGATGTAGCTATCGATTCAATAGAATCTTATGAAATAATGATTGCCATACAATGGTTTATTTTTTAAGAGGAAAACATATACAAACTCAATAAGAATCCCTAAAATATCATGAAATCATACAACCTTATTGTAGAGGGAATCAAAAAATTATTGAAAAGTTGTTTGATCTATATTAGAACAGACTCGTTTAAATGTTTGTATATCTTACAGATTACAGCATCTCTATCCAAAGTTATATTTAGTTTCCATGTAATGAATAGCGATAGAATTATGAATTTTGATATATAAAAGGAATTTTTAGACATTTCTGATTATTTAAAATAATAAATGGAAATAGAGAAGAATGATTTGATGTAAATTTCAATGGAAGTTTATCTTTTCTTTACTAAATCTTCTTTTGAAATGACTCCAAATAATAGTAACGAAAGGTAAGAAATTCTAAAAGGATTTGTTAGTGGTATATTTGATTAGTTAATACAAAGGAAACCTAATGCAGAATTACTTAAATTTTTATTTAAGGCAGTTCACTAAATGCACAACATTTATAAAATTACAAACAATCGAAAACAATATGAAGTGTATTTTTAAATAGAAATGTTGTAATGGGAAATTATTAATTTTTTTAGAAATGAAAAATAATTAATCCTAAATAAGATAATTTTACAAATTTAGTTAATATATGATAATCTTGTAAACAATTCAAACAATTGGATAAATCATTTTTTGTGGATTTATATGATTGGGAAAATTTTAATATTTAATCCCCTTTTAACAAAACAAAGTGTAAATCAATTAGCGAACTCTAACGATTTTGGAGTTAATTCTACGTAAATGTGGAAGGAATATCAGAAAAAAGAATTAATTATTTAAATGAACCATACAAATGACTAAGCTGTCATTTTACTTAGTTAACTTTAAAATAATAAACTGACAAAACTTGATAGATAAGTGTTAGAAGATAGTTTCAAAGGATGGGAAGACTTTCTTATACTTAAACAATATTTAATTGGTGAATTAAATGAAGATACACCATATACATTTAGTTCCTATTTAAAATGTAAATTAGATTTGTTTAGAAAATATTCCTAAAAAAATGAAAAAATTTTGACTATTGAGAAAATGAAAATGCTTTTTAGTTTCATTATTCCAACTAAATTAATTAATTTAATCAAATAAAATAGTCAAAATTTGGGGGAGGTGATTAAATTTTTTAAATAATTTAGGAAAATTGAGTATGTTAATAAAAGACTATTACAAAGCACTGTTGATTCTTAATTAAAAAAGATCATTTGCAACTTATATGAATATTTGCAAAACACATAAAAAATTCTCAAAATTTTTAAGCTTAATTAGAATAACCATTACTGCCAGAGTGAATAATTAAAATAGGCAGAAAAAATTGAATTTAATATTTTATTTTAACTTAAATATTTAATGAAACTATTAGAAGAAATTTTATTATAAGCAATTTAAGAAATTTATAATAAAAGAAATCAATTCGGCAAGTAAGATGGCATAAATGATGAAATAATAATACTTTAGTAATAGAAAGAGTTGATTTAGTAGCAATTAAAAAATCTAAATCTGAAAGATAACCAATTTTCATTTGTAAATAAGTTATAGTAGTAACTTCTTGACTTGCTAATTGCAACTCTTGACTAAAAGAGCTTTATGAAAAAAGCTTAAAGCATTTTAAGACTAATTGAAGATCCTAAAAAATAAATTTTAAGGCTAGAAATTATGTCACTTAAAAAGTGTACATTTATTGAATTTTTTCAGAGTTTATTGAATCATCTATATTTTGAGTAAGATCACATGGTTGAAAAAATTCAAAAAGATGTTAATGAATCTATTTTAAGTTTAAAGACAGTATTAATTTCATAGTATGAAATAGAGTCAGTTTAAGAATTTGGAGAAATTTAATAACAAATTTCTAATATGCTATCATTTTAATTTGTATACACCTAAAGATTGAATAATTTAAAGCTTTAATTACAGCTAACTACTTTGAAGGAGTCCTTTTAAAATATATTTCTAGCATAATTGGAAGAATTTTAATAGTTATAAAAAGTTATTGATTTGGATGATTTTCTTGTTAATGTATTGTGTATTTTCAAAAATACTCATTATAAT